AAAAAAAAAAAAAAAAAAAAAAAAAAAAACTAATTTTTAGAATAGAATTAAGTTACTAAAAGCATTATACTCTACATTTCTACAATATAATTTCTACAAAATTACTTACCATTCCCAAAACTATATAAAATAAAAAAATTCTAAATTGCAACAATCAATTTTACTACATATGCATCAAATCTTCAAATATTTAGAACAAAAAAATCTTATTTTTCTTCAAATTAAAAACAAAATAATAATATAATTTTAGTTTTTCTAATTTTTAAAAAAATCATTTTATCTATAAATATCTACATTTATAGTTAAAGATTGCCAAGATTATTTTTCAAACTTTTAAAAATGGGCTTCAATTTTAAGATATTGGAAGATATGTAAATTCTCGAATTTCATTACAACCCATCAATACATTAATTATATCTCTCATGGTGAGATGATGAATAGTTTCATTAATTTTTGTACTTAAATAACTTTGGATATCCGGAAGTATGTCCGGTTTGACAATGTCTAAGACCTTTGGCGTCAATTCTTGAACAACCTACGGATAAATTGCCAATTAAATTTTCTGATCCTTTTACCCTAATAATTTGTTATATTCAGCCTCAGAAATTAATTAACAATATGAATTCTCAATAGGAACTTCTACTTTAATCAATTTTTTTAGAAATATTATATAGAATAATAGAAATAATAATTTATGATTATATCTTATTGCCAAATTTTTATTAAGATATTTTGAAGTATATATAATTTTATTTATTTTTTTTAATTATGCATATCACAAGTCGAATACTGAATCCCAAAAGCTTTCTATAATTTCAATTACTAAAGCTAAAAAAACTGGCACACTTATTATTAAATTTAAAAAAATAAACTCTACTACCTTGTTCATGATGTCGTTCAATTCTTGATCATCCATTAAATTCTTCAAATTTATATCAATAAATCTTAAAGTAAAGTCTAGGTCGAACGTCTTCAAATACACTCCTCTAGAATAACCCAAAATAGTGTTTACATATAATTGAAAATCATGTATATTTCCTTTGAAAGGACCATAACCATGTAATTGAAATTTTTGACTGAGATCGCCGGATATATTATAAAAGCCTTCGACATAAATTCTTGGAATGGTAATATTTGCTGCAATTGTTGGTCCGATCAGTGATAGCTTTGCTTTGTTGACTATGAAGGTCGACAAATTATGTAACTTTAGATCCTGAATAGTGATAGACACGCTAAAAAAATGAATAACTATGTTATAATTTCATCAGATAAATAGAAAAATAAAAACATTCTTCATATATTAAATACAAAATGTTCATTTCTTTTGAAATAAATATTTTCAAAAATAGAAAATATAACATTTTAAAAAATGTTTAATTTAAATTTTTGTTGATTTTAAATATTTACAACATTGTGTTAAAACATAAGATATTTTGATTGATGAAAATCAATTTTAATTCATTAAACAAATTTATAGATATATAAAATATTTTTATATATCTTATAAAATCTATCTTATAAAATTCTCAAATCTATTATTTTTTCTAGAATTTTCATACATAGTTTAAAGAATTCTTTTTCTTTGAATTTTTTTAAATTTTCAAGAAATTTGTTCGATTTTTTAAATTTTAAATTCCAAAACTATGATAGAAAATTATTTAACATTTTAAGTATGGAATAATAAGATTAAAAACACTGGCAAAGATTCAAGGAAGATCCTTAAAAAGATTTTTTAAGATCCTTAATGTGAACAACAATTTATTCAATCAAACTTACTTTCCTATTTCTGGATTTTCAATTACAATGTCAATTTCATCTAATTCAAACGGATCCAAAGGTGGAATTCCTAGTTCTGGCATTCCATAAGGCATCTTATTACGAAATTTTTCCAAAAATCTTCTAATTGGAAATTCCATACTTTTGGAAGCAGCACTATCAACTATCCTTTGATCGATTAGTGTCAATTAAAATGATTACACATAGATTTATATACTTACTGTAGCCAGTAGTTATTCTAGTTGCATTGATGATAAAATTCTTCGGTTTTTCCACAGCACTTGTGACTGAAAATAATAAAAAAGAATAAAAATTTAATAAATTTAAAATAAATTGAAATTTATTCAGAAAGAATAAAACATTGGTTTTTTTAAATTATTTTTATAATAATAATATTAGTAAATTTAATAAAACAATTTAGCAAATAAAGATTAATAACAATATAAAAACATTTTTGAAGTTAATGAATACACTAATTAAGAATACCTCGTATTTATGTTAGAGAGTATTATCAAATCGAGTATGAAAATCAATTAATTAATTTTATAAAAAATAAATGCGAACAATATTCATAACTATTGAATTTATGGAAACTTGCATACTATTACTATGAATTATTCATATTATATTAACCAAAGCAAAGGGAATTACTACGATTTACGATAATCCAATCAACGTCTCTGTTAGTCAATAAAATTCACATTAAATTTTTCTATTAAAAACTATTTTAATTTTTCAAAAATAGGATTTCAAACCTTAATCCACTTATGCTATTTATTAAATTTTTATTGTTATGGATTTAATATTGAATCTGAACTTATTTGGGGAAGAATATAAATATAAAATTGATTTCTTAAGCACCAATAAAAATATGTTACATTTTAACGTAAATAGTAATAGAGGAATGTAATTATCAGATAAAATAACAAATTGAATTGAAAATAAAAAATTGAAAAATGATTCAAAGTGTTGTTTGCATGAAATCACATACTGTAGTTAGAAGCTGTATCCGTCATACGATGTATCAGTTCTTTTTGTCGTTGTATAATTCCTGTAACTGGAACAAATAAATACACAATTTCTAGAACAGAATTTTTTTTTTCGTGGATAACATGCGTAGATGCATAGGCGATTCTTACTTTTAGTAGTATAAATCTTACATATAATATATATAATGCATATAATATACGATAATGAAAATTTTTGAAATATAAAATATATAATGGTAAATAATTTTTATTAATTTTAATTAATTTTTTATCTGAATGAATTTAAAAAACTGTTTTATTACTTTAATATTTTT